TTATTTGGTAAAATTTAAGCTTATCTCAGAACTAGTGAGCTCTTATCGTAGAAAAGCTAATAAAATTTATGATTATGATAAGAACTCTAACTTGTAAAAAATCGTTTCAAAACAACTTTTCACTCACTTCCCTACATCCAGCTTAGAAACAATAGTTTAAACTCCCTACAAAGAAGCGGCAATGGCACGGCCGGTTAAGAGGCAAGTAGTACAAGTAGTACAAGTAGCAGAGGAGATTAAGGAGGAACACCTTTTGGCTTTCATTCTGAAGGAGAAATATAAAGATGACGCTGAATGCAAAAAAATTCTCAAGGAATATTGCGATGATTTGAAGAAAGTAGATGCTGAATTCAAAGTGAATGATAAAGTTAAAGGACTTTGTGGTGGTGATGATACAAAACGAAACGAAAAATGCACAGGCCTGAAAGCCAAAGTTGAAAAAGTATTGAAAACTTTTGAAGATGAACTTGAAACTGCATTGGTAGAGATAAATGAAGAAGAATGTAAAAAACATGAAGAAAAATGTATACTTTTAGAAGAGACGAATCATGAAGATATTAAGGAGAAGTGTGTCGAGTTGAGGGAAGGATGTTACAAATTGAAGCGTGAAAAGGTGGCAGAGGATCTTCTTTTGAGGGCGCTCGGAAAGGATGTTAAAAATGGTGAATGTGAAAAAAAGATGAAAGATGTTTGCTCAGTGTTAAGCCGAGAAAGCGACGAATTGATGTCTTTTTGCCTTGATTCTGCTAAAACGTGTGGAGAGCTGAAAACAAAATTGGATACTGTTTGCGAGGCTTTAAAAACAAAATTGGCGAAAGATTTCGAAAAAGATTGTCATGAAAGACTTGAGAAATGTCATTTTTACGGAGAAGCGTGTACTGAAACAAAGTGCGAGGAGGATAAGACGAAATGTGAGAAAGAAGGAGTCATATATAAAGCGCCGGAATCTGATTCTAGTCCGGTGAAGCCGAGGGCGTCGTTGTTGAGAAGTATTGGGTTCGATGATGTCTATAAAAGAGCTGAAAAAGAAGGAATTCTTATTGGAAAAGTAGGCGTAGATCTACCAAGAAGGTTTGGTGATGATTTTCTGCAAGATCTCTTACTACTCTTGGGCGAAGATGAGGGTGATGCAGGGAAGAATGATGATGCGCAAAAGAAATGCGAAAAAGCGTTAAAAAAATGTGAAACTTCTAAGCATTTGGATCATGATTTGGAAAAGTTATGCAAAGATGAAAAGAATAAACAAGAGAAATGCAAAGAATTACTAGATGTAAATGTAAAAGAAAGATGTACAAATCTCAAATTAAATCTTTATCTGAAAGATTTGTCTACAAAATATGAAAAAGCTGATTCAGATCTTTTATTCTGGAGACAACTGCCAACATTATTTACAAAGGGAGAGTGTACAGAACTTGAGTCGGAATGTTTTTATTTAAAAAAGGCGTGTAATAAGGAGATTGATCAGGCGTGTCAAAATGCACGAGCAGCGTGCTATAAAAAAGGACAATATAGGATGTTGAATATGCTCTTTCGAGAGGGGTTGAAGGAGAAGCCTGATAATATAAAATACTATGATGAGAATCCTCAAAAATGTCAAGAATTTGTGGTAGGAAGCTGTACAAAACTTAAAAAATATCTTCCACAATGTCTTTACCCTAAAGAACTATGTTATGCGGTTTCAGATGATATTTTTCTTCAATCCAAAGAGTTAGGTGTGCTTTTGGATGATCGGAGAGATTTTCCATTTGAAAAGGATTGTCTTGAGTTGGAGGAGAAGTGTGCTCAACTTGAAACTTATTCAAATTCGAATTCTCAAAAGTGTATAACATTGAGAAGGCGCTGTAAATACTTAAGAGTTTCAGAGGGATTTAGAAAGGTATTTTTAAAAAGAGAAGATGATTCGTTAAACAAAGAAAACTGTACGAAGGCATTGCAAGAAAAATGTGATGCTTTATCTAGGAAAAGGAGGAATCCATTTGGGTTTTCATGTGCTTTGCTAGAAGAAACATGTGAATATATGGTAGCCCGTACAAAAGATGAATGTTTTTATTTAAAAGACAACATGGAGAGTAAAGCAATTCTACAAGAAATTGAAAAAGCAAATAAAAATGAAACAACACTTGAAGAACTCTGCACAACATGGGGCCGACATTGTCACCAACTTATGGAGAATTGTCCGGATGACTTGAAAAAAAAAGAGGAGAAAGATCATAACTGTCTAAAACTTGAAGAAGAATGCAGTGAAACCTTTAAAAAGTTGAAATCGAAGGATAAGCTGACTCATCTGTTGAAAGGCAGTTTAAACAAGAAAGAAAAATGTAAAGAAACATTAGGAAAAGATTGCACTGAGTTGAAAAAGAATGATACATTCAAAATTCTTCTTGGTGAATGTAAATCTGATACCACGGAAAATGTTTGCGAAAAATTAGTTGATAAACTACAGAAGAGATGTCCTACTTTAAAAACCGATCTGGAGAATGCGAAAAAAGAGTTGACAAAGATGAAGAATGAGTACGATGAGCTCAAACAGGCGGCAGAAAAATCTACAGAGGCAGCTAAGTTATTGCTATCAAGACCTAGACAAACTGTAATGCCAAGTGCGCAGAATGGCAGTGCTTCTGGACCAGCACCAGCACCAGCAGGATCAGAGTCGTCATCAGCATCAGGGCCACTACCACCATCACCACCACAAGATGGAACATCAGACACACCAAATGGAAAGCCAGGTGCACCAGGTGGAACGACAGACGCATCAGGTAAAACGCCAAGCACAGGAGATGGAACACCAGGCACATCAGGTAGTGGAACGCCAAACTATGTAAAATTTGGACTCGTTAAAAGAGCATATGTAGCTGAAGGAGTATCAGAAGCAGAGGTCAAAGCATTTGATGCAACGACGATAGCATTGGAATTGTATTTGGAATTGAAAGAGGAATGCAGCGCTTTACAACTAGATTGCAGTTTTAGAGATGATTGTTCAGATCTTCAAGTTTGTGGAGAAATAGACACGTTATGCGGAGGAATAAAACCATTAGAAATTAAGCCTCATCATACAGAGACGCAAAAAGAAATCTCAACCACTACGACGACCACTACGACGACTACTACCACGACTACTACCACGACTACGACGACAACAACTACTACAACCAAGCAGGGAAGTGGAGGAAAAGTAACAGAAGAGTGTACAATGATACAAACAACAGATACATGGGTGACAAGTACATCATTGCATACGAGTACGACAACGAGTACGTCAACGGTGACATCGACAGTGACATTGACGTCGATGCGCAAGTGCAAACCTACCAAATGTACCACCGATTCAAGCAGAGAGACAGAAGAAGGAGGAAAAGAAGAAGAAGAAGTGAAACCGAATGATGGGATGAAAATAAGAGTTCCTGATATGATTAAAATAATGTTGTTGGGAGTGATTGTTATGGGGATGATGTAAATGAATGAAAAAAATGTTAATAGAATGAAAATGTGCATATATCCATTGTTTATATATAATAGAAATCTAAATGAATGAATGAATTGAAAAATAAAGT